AGGTTTAGGATTTCTAAATCACCCCTGGCACCTCCCTTGTTGAAACTCTAATTCTGTCTCTCTTCTCTCTGTGTGTGCATGCGTGTATGTGCATTTTTGTGTGTGCATGCCAGTTTTGCCATAAAAACACCCTTGCCCTTTTTTTCACTTGTCTTCCTCCCCCTCCCTTTCTGCTCTCTGCCCTATGTCCCCAACAGGAGATGGAAGCGGTGGGGACAGTAATGGTGGGGGCAGCAGGGTGAGGAGGCACACACCAAAACAAATGTCTTGTGACAAATCCAAAAAATACAATTGCTCTACCGGTTTATTACAGCGGTGGGAATAGGACCTTAGATCAGAAGAAAGCAATTTATGGGCTTCCAAGCATTTTTGGCTTACAGTTCCTTTCAGCCTGGCCAGCACACTGCCATGGCACAGCAGTACTATGAGATAAACATGTGGAAGAGCGATTGCCACCAGGAAAAAAAAAAAGAATCAACGAAAGGGTTCCAGTCTTCATCTACAGTCACTCCCACCAATGCAGGAAACTTACTGAAGAAATCAAGTATACATATATAGGCTGGAGACATCTCCATAAATAATGCTGTGTGGTATGACAAGGATAGAGAGCATAATTGGAAAAGACAATAATTCTGGAAAAAGTTGAAGGGAGCAGGAAAAAAGAAAAACATCAGGAAACAGATTTACTGAATAAAAGCATGGTCTTCAGCTTGTAAACTTGTCTACAGTCACTCCCACCAATGCAGGAAAGTTACTGAAGAAATCAAGTATACATACATAGGCTGGAGACATATAAATAATGTTGTGTGGTATGACAAGGATAGAGAGCATAATTGGAAAAGACAATAATTCTGGAAAAAGTTGAAGGGAGCAGGAAAAAAGAAAAACATCAGGAAACAGATTTACTGAATAAAAGCATGGTCTTCAGCTTGTAAACTTGCAAGATCTGAGAAGTGCTGTTAGGAACAGCATCTTCTGGAGGTCAGTAATTAATAGGTGGTATAAGCTGGAAGTGATATAAGAATAACAACAAGGAGAAACATAATCCAGAAGCCATCGATTTTAACTTGTTTATTGAGAAGCAAATGATCTTGGTTTCTAAAAATTGAAATCCATTTGGAAAAATCACTACAAACTAGATCCTGCATTTTTCATCCTCCTAAACTTGATGGCATACTGCAAGATAAACAGTAAAACATAGGGGTGTCTTGCACCTGAAAAAATGTATTGCTTGTTTCTAAGGCTAAAACTGGATACAGCAGTGACTGAAATCCTGTTGCTCAGTATAGTAAGTCACAACTAGAGTAGAATAAATGCTATGAGCACTTGAGGACATATACGTATTTTCTAAAAACATGCTGGTTGAAATCTTGTTGCTTAGTGCAGTAAGTCACAACTAGAGCAGGCCCACTGAATCAGTAGAGATTTGATGAATCATCCTCTCCATAAGTTCCACTGACTCAACGAACCTTTGCTAGTTGAGACTTACTATGCTAAGCAACACAATTTTAACCAGTATGTTTTTAGAAATTGTGCTTCTAGAAGTGACCATAGCATAAAATGCATTTTTTGTATCTACGTATCCTTGCTTTTAGTATGCTTTGTGTATAATTGGTCATTAGAAAGTAAACACAAGCTGAATTTTCATGTTCGATTGCTGAGGCATGTTTTTCTGAAGAAATCTCACTGTGGGAGAAGAAATGGGTTAACCAGATGGAATCCATTTTACTTCTATTTTTAACATAAAGGTTTAAATATATATATTGCAGAAAATCTATTCATCTTTCTCAAACATCTCTTGCAATGATTTTACACCGTCCCAGCACTCAGCCTGCAATATTCTGTCACTGAGAAAGAATTATTTCCACTTCTGTGCCCATATCCAACCACCATGTACATTTTCACTGTTGACACTGTGTAGCTTGTATTGCTTGCATGACATGGGAACTAACAGAAGAATGGCAAGAAAAACCACTCCTATTTTAGGCAACATAATTTAAAAAGATTTGCTCTTTTTGAAAATCCTTTATTAACCTGGTGATAGCAGACAAGTACATGTGTGCTTATGTTGCTTTTATAAAACATACACACACACAGAGAGAGAGAGAGAGAGAGAGAGAGAGAGTCAACAGATGAATTCTGCACATAGTATTCAGTAAGAGGACTGTGAGAAGGACAAGGTGCTAAATCCCTCTGTCAGTGTTCCATCTCCTCCCATAGCTACAGAAGGATTTGAAACCATGAGTATGGTCATAATAATGGGACTCCAACAGGTGATGTCAGAAGTTTTCACTGAAAAGGAGGAGACAGAACCCAATGTCTGCATGGGAAAAGCAGAAGAAAGGAAGGAAGGGCCAGACCAGGGGGGAGGAATACAAGCAGAGGTGAAGAACCAATAGGGGCAGAGGCAAAAGAAGAAAGTGGAAAAGAGAGGTAAAAGAGAGGAAAGAGAAGATAGAAAAGGGGAGAGAGAAATAACAAGAGAGATGCCAGTCCAAGACAGTCAGCTCTCCTGCCCCCAGCAAGAGAAGGGGGTTCAGAGGAGCTTCCTGATGGCTGGGAGTGACCTCCCACTAGGCAGGAAGCCAGAATGATATTCCCAGAGGAAGACACACACCACCCCCTCTAGGAAGGCATCCTTCTGGGATGGGAGGGTGGGAGTAGGCAGAAGGTTAGTTAAGAGGGCTTCCCGGACAGCTGAATGGACACCCACTCAGAGGGAAGCCTGGAGGTATACCACAAACATGGGGGAGAACTTCAACCATTTACAAAGATCCCTCCAAGAAGACCGATGGGGAGCCGATATCAGAGGTCCCAGGAAGCACAGACACTTGAATGGCAAGACCAGAGTGTGGGACAGTTCTATTCTGTCAAACCCTCCTCTCAGGGAAGAAGAGAAAACGACCATTGGGAATGTTAGAAAGGGAATGGGAAGTTGGACCTTTTGAAGTTGTGGTTAAGACACCTGTTGTGTCTTTTAAAAAAAGGCACTCCATTGAAGCAAGAAGAGCCTCCTGTCATCAGTTTGGAATTAGGCCATGAATGCCCATTCAAAGAGGGATCCATTCAAAAGGACACAATAGGTTGTGAAACTTTCCAAATATACCATCTAGCATTCTTTCACACAGTAGCATGACCAAGCAATACAACCTAGAGAAAGATGATGCAAATGAAGTGCCATGTAAGTTTGTCAGTGGCTTCCACTATGATACAGAATTATCCGTATAAGCAGGAGTATGTTTCTATATGGAAAGACTGTGATATTCATTTAATTTTAGCTTTCAGATCCAATTCCTGGGCTCAGAATTTTTTAATTCTTAGCATATATCTTCTGTGTTAGTGTGGTGCACTTTTAAGTTCTAGTAAAAAGAAGAAGAAAAAGCAGATCCTGCAAATTTGACACTACCACTTGCCTACCACTGCCCAAAATATACAGGCCCTCCCACTATTACTGCTGCCCATCATATAAATTAGCATTTTCTAGTTAATATTAATAAAGATCACATTCAGCACAATTATGTATTTCCTGGCTTTCAATACACAAGACACACAGAATAGAGCAGAGTTTGAAAGCAAGTCAGTCCTTTTTTTATATTAAAAATTTCTGTTGATTAGCAGAGGAGTGGGAAAACTTTGAAGTTTTGCTGAGTGCCAAACCCTGCAATGCTTGTGTTGACATCGAGCTAAAAAGATATGCATTTGTATCTATTTCATCTATAGCAAATCATAACAGATTTGAGGGGCTAATGGATTGGTTGATGACAAGACAAGGACATTTTACAGTATAGAATACTCCTGGTCTGCTGCTTACCAGAGGCTCCTGCTTGCTGGAAAAAGAGACAGCTATGAAAGTCACTGCCTGTGGACCTAAAACTAGTCTATTTCTGTCTCCCCTGTAAAGAAAATTCCCAAATAGGTTCTCAAGATTACATGGAGATTTGAAATGGAGATTTGGGTCAAACAGAGAAGGATCAGGAACCTTGACCAGGAGAACAGTAGATAAAAATGTTTTTTTTTAAAATAAAAAACAATGCCTTTTATAAATGTAAATCAGACCAAGACATTTTAAAAAACAGGAAATAGCCAGTTTATCTTAAACAACACCTGGGGCCTAAATCTGACACAGGGATATGCATGCTCCTGGGTTTAATAGGCTTAAGCATGCTTAGCTCTGGGTCAGACCCATTCCTATTTTAAGGTTAAATAATATTTGGACATACGCCCCGCTGTGAATCTGTGAAGTGAATCAATGCTGCCACCAGATGCTGACTCTGATGGAGCAATATATTTGTGAAGATTCTTCACAGATATATAGACTGAAAAAGCTACTTGGGTGAGTAGTAAAAGGTTTCAGCCTAATAAGAAAGAATTCCAGTTGCTATGACTTAACTTCCAGATACTCTGGTGGAGGCACTGATTATTTCTCATACAAAATTTTTCCACTTTACCAAACAAGCATAGGTATTTCATTTTCAACTAATAAAAGAGTAAACCACTCTAGATAAAAACTGTCAGAACTTGCCAGTCTTGGTCACTTCATTTTTCTTTGTTGCTCCGTTTGTGTTAGGATGGGACTCAGTCAACAAGAAGGAAACAAAGGGAGCAATACTTACAAAGAGAAAGAGGGATGGAATTGACCAGCGTACAGATTCCTGTTTACCCATACTTAAGTTCACCCTCCTGGGCTCAGACTGCAATACCCTACTGAGGAATACTCGAAAGACCATGTTTCTAATATTAAAAATGTAAAGCACACAAAACATATAAAAGGTACAACATCTGCTTGTAAGAATGACACAACAGTGCAAAACCATGGATAGGGAGGTTTAGTCCTCCATGTATTGCTTGACAGGAACTCATGTCACTGGCGATGGTAGCTATTTCTCATGGAAAGTGCAATCCCACAATATCTGAACAGCCATACTTTCTCACCATTGGTGTAAATGCTGTAATTTGACATTCTTTAGAAGCACCCCCCCACAATATCTGAACAGCCGTACTTCCTCACCATTGGTGTAAATGCTACTCTGTTTAGCTGTAATTTGACATTCTTTAGAAGCACCCTCCAGGAAATATATATGAAACATGATCAGTGGGAAATATGACTTTTACAGAGCCAAAACAAGTCAGTGAGTATTTTTTATAACATGTCCCTTGTATTTGGCATAACTGTTTCTCTTACAAGTGAAGCTAGGACATTCCGGTATGTGTCCAAAACCATCTTAGCAGAAGGTCTTTCGTTTGGCCTCTTCTTACATGCCTGATGGATGCCAAACAGGTGAAACCTGACAAGATCACTCCCATCAACGTCTCCCAAAAGAAAGTTGGAAACATCAGGGATTTTCCATATGTCTGTCATTTCATCATATGGAGGCATGAGATTGTCTTCAAAGGGTATATTGTTTCCATAAGGCCAAAGCTGCTCAGGAGCCACAAACTCACCCTGCAGCTCCTGATGGCCACACTTGATCAATTCACCAGCACTCTTGTTTACGAGTGGCAAGGCATCCAGGTCATTCACAACAATATGGAAGCTGCTTGTCAACAAGTACTGTGAAAGTACTTTCTCTAAGTCATTGGAGTCACACATCACAAAAGTGCCCAGGGGACTGTTGTGCAGGTAATGGATAATACTCACATAGTTTATGGCCAGCAAGAACCTGTTTTGCCACATGTTGGAGTTCTTGTATTTTGGAAGATTCAGTATCTGATTCAGATTCTTCAGGGAGCCAAACGGATGGTACTCTGTAAGGACTGTGAACTCCTCTTCACAATAGCCAAGCAGTTTGACCACATGCTTGCTTTGTAGAGATTTCAGCATCTGAAGCCCATGCATGAAGTCTTTCTGAAGCTCTGGCACAGTTAGCTGGGAAAGGGCAACTTTGTTTTCCTTCCATTCAGAAAGGAAGACCTGAAAAGAGAGAATGTACTGTACTTATTTTTCTCAAAATGCCACGAATGTAGAGCCACTAATGGCCACAAACCTCTAATCAAATCACTTGTTTTATGTTTTGAATTTGATCAACACAGCTGTCGAAGATCCAAATTACCAGAGAAAATGGAACATTTGGCTCATCTGAAAAGAAAGCATGCAGACTAAATACTTCCAAGTGTTAAAAAAAACACCTCTATGTTCATTATCACAGTAATCTTTACAACAGCTTCATAAATGTAGGCAAATCCATTATGGTACCACAATAAACTGATGTGTGAAACTTTGGACATAAGCCTTTGTAAACAGCAGCTCAGTTCATCAGGCACCCAACAAAGTGGGCTGCAGTCCACAAATGCTTGTGCCAAATAAAACCTGTTCACCTTTAAGATGCCTTATGACTCTACTGCTTTTGTAGCAACAGACTAACAGAGCACGCACACCCCACTGAAACAGGACCTGAGCCTAATGCTTTTATTTTTTATGGAGATATGTAAACTAAGATACCATCAGTTGTTTATGTTGATGAAATTTCCAAAATCTAGTTTGAAATATTAATCTGATTTGCTTCTAGTACTTGTATGCAATATGAAGCTTGCTCAAAGATTCATTTCTGGCACTAACTAAATCTGCCTCCCCATCAATGGAATTAAGAATGCTTGAATAGTAGCATCCTCAGAGGCAATGATGGAGGAGGGTTTGCAGTAATTCTTCCTCCTCTTGCTTATTGCTACTTTCTTTCTGTTGGTTGGCCATTCATAAATTGAACTGCATTCTCAGTGGAGTTCTTAGGAACACAAAGAGGTTTCCAAATTTAACTGGGTTTTAAAAGCTAAGCTTCTGCAACAGTGGCTTAGTCTGCCAAACTAAGTTCCAGGGTTAGGAGAGTATCTATCACTGCCTTCAATTCACAATGACATTTGGTGTAAATAACCAACACATTTAATCTATGTTACAACTCAACAAATTATGCAACACTGAATGTCTGAAATGTGGTGAATGTTGGCAAATTCCGGACATGTTTTATGGGGGTCTAAAAATACAGAGACTCACCACTGAATGTAGTCAACTAAATACTACAGTATAACATTCATGTGTCACTATCGCCAAAACGTAAGATACCATATATATACAAGAATACCTATTCCTAGCCATTCAAAGAGAAAAACACAATTTAAATTGCCATTATTCACATTTTGACATTCACCAAATTTCAGTGATTTACTGAAGCTTATACAGGAAGCAGTACTTTGAAAAGAAAAGCAGTACATCATTCAAGAGAACTTTTTGGGAAATCTACATCAGGACACAAACTCCTAACACTTTAGGGGTTTTTTTCAGGTTCTTCTATTCACATGAAAACTACTGTCACAACTATGTGAGACTTTTAAAGCCATTCATGAATTTGCAGATAAAATTACATGGTGAATTTAGACATTCACTGTGCAAACTCTGGTAAAAGTAGAGCTGTCACCACATTACAAAATGTGAACAGTACATTTAAAGAATGACATTTTTATTATCTTCAATAATAATTATTCAATTATTATCTTCAAGACATATTATGATGAACCAACCCTTTTCACAGCCCCTTCACCAACACGTTTCAGTTTACGGACTTCTCTTTTGATGGTCTCACAAGACAACCACGGTGTACAGTTCCTCAGGGATCCTAATCTGAAGTAACCATGTGGACAGGGATTGTGTTCCACGTTGACTTGCCCATAGAAAAAGTATGCATTGTTGAAATATTGATAAAGGAGCAGGTTCACAAGCAGCAGAACCACAATCAGAAGCAAGGCTGGAGGGATCAACTTCTGCATAAGATCAGTTTTCATGTCATAGGACTTTTTCTCCATGCTGAAATTGTCATCTTTCAGATTTTCTGCAAGACATAAAAATTGAAAATTGTCAATCTGGTACACTAATCTTTGGAGGGGAATGACTGAATTTTTGGAAGCGTTTTTAATAACACTCTTAAAGTATTCTGTCTTTAGATAGCAATGCTATAGCCTCAAATAAACAAACGTTAAACTTGAAACATAACATTACTGGGAGGTGAAAATTTCTGCCAATGACTGTGGTAAGTTAACTACCATAGATCATGATCCAGAAAGCAGGACTGCATGCATTGGGGAGGGGGGGAGCCCGCACCAACAAAATGTTCAGATACAAGACATTCCATTTCTCCTTTCCAGAGTGGTGGTACATCCAGTTAGGGTCTGAACCAAAAATACTCCATACTGTCTACATGCAGCTAGAAAGGAGATTGCATAAGCGTGCCTCTCCCACTCCAGCAGGCTCTTCCACATGTGCCTAGTCTTGTAGTGTTTGAAATATCAGTCATGTAACCAGTCACGCAAAGGGAGATGGCTAGTACAGGGTGACTACTTAGGTGATTTCCCCATCTGCCTGACTATAGGACAATAGGGTAATGACCCCAACAATCAAGCCACTACTAATTTCAAAATCACTTGCCTTAAAAAAAATACATTGCAACATAGAATCTCAAAGGGTGCACATGCATACTACTTAAAACAAACAAAGCTTGAAGTATCCAGATTATGTTTGCAATAACACTTTTGAAAGGTACTACTTTTAACAAAATGGAACCTATCATATGCTTGACCTCTTCTCAATGAAAACAAAGGTAAGCAAAGTGCTTGTTTGGACTACACACAGAATGACAACATACAACAATAGTGCTCTGTTTATTAGCTATTATGATTTATCCTTTATATTTCCTTCAGTGGGTTCAAGATTGTGTGGCTCTTTCTTCCTACTCTGCCCTTACAACCACTTGTGAAATAAGCTAGACTGAAAGAGAGTGATTGGCCCAAGGTCATGCATGTTGGTAAATTTCGTGGCTCAGTGGGTACTACTGATGGCTTGTTGATATTTTATTTATTTATTTCATTAATTTAGATACTGCCCTATTAGAGCAACACACTATTCTGGATGGTTAACAGCACAATAAATCTAAACAAACATAACAGCAATAAAATCATACAATAAGTAAATGAACAAATTTAAGTCAACATCAAACCGTGACAGCACAACATATCCGTATTAAAAGTGGCAGGGCACAAGACACAGAAAAATTCAGGCGAGGCTGCATTCAAAGGCCTCTCTGAACAGCAGTGTGTTCAGCAACCTCTTAAGAGTGGGAAGAGAGAGTGCCAGCCACAGCTGTACAGTACTGGGAGCTTGTTCCACAAAGCTGGTGCAACTGCTGAGAAGGCCCAATATACTGTATACAGTATTTGTATATTGTTTTATATCTATTTATTCTTTCTTTGTGTGCTTTGTTCTAAACCACCCAGAGAGTGTGTTTCACTGTAGGGCAGTATGTAAGCTGAAACAAACAAACAAACAAACATTAGAATACAGCTCTTTCCCATGTCTCCTTCAAACAATTATCTAGATTGACAGTTACATAACAAGGTCAAAGCCATGGTTTTTCAAATCTAACCATGAAAAGAAGCCAGAGAAACAATATATTTTGTAGAATCCATTGTATGATTTCTGATTCATTACATATTAACACCAACACTGACATTCACTCGACTCCCTTCAGGCTTTTCCTGTTCATCTCCTCCTCGCAGGGAGCATGCCCTTTTGCAGATCCTTTACAGGTCGGGGAGGATCCTGGCCAACGAGTCAGAATTTTCTTCCAAGTGAATATGTTCATGAGTAGCCCTAAGGTGTTCTCAGTGAGCCAAGTACAAGGGGAGTGGTTGGAAAAGGCAGGTCCATCCATGAGAAAAAGACCAAGAATCGCTCCTTTTATGGTTGCAACACAATGGACGAGGAATGCTTGGGATTGCCCTTACCTTCCTCCCGTCACACCTCCGCGTACATCTCTGCACATCTGGCGGCGAGTCTGACACCTTCCCAGCATCCCTCACTCCAACACACACACACACAGCAACACCAGCCCTTTTGCACATAGAGATTAAAATGCAGAAGTGCACACCTATCCTGATTCGGAATTACTATAATTCCTGTAAGCAAGTGAATGGAGCGGAAGACATGGTCACATTTAAGCTACCGCTGGCAAGGGAAATGTGTGGGAGGGTTGAAGAAAATAACAAGAGTAGAGATACGATTAACTCCACTTTTGCTGCAACTGGAGGTGTTTTCCATTTCTGTTCTGAGATCTTTTTTTCAACCAAGGACTTGTTGGCTGTTTTTCGAGGATGGGCAAACACGTGCAGCCACGGATTGTATTTTATCTCCCTAACAACACTTACATCAATTTTCACTGTCTGCTTGTACGTTGATGCAATGGATGTGTTGTGCAGAACTGAAAACCGTCCTTTATCAACATTTTATTTCCCATCTGAAATCCTGATAGCCATTGTAGTGATCCTGAATGCCCACATTTTAATGATCCCAGCCGCGGGGCGCTCAGAGTATCAAAATGAACCGATCTGCACCTTTCAGATGTCGTCCTTGCCTTTAATAACCAGCAGCAGGTCGGAACCGCAGCACTACACCGCTGGGCTGGGATCCCGGGAGATTTCAGCACCTCCACTTTCTACACCATATACACAGGCTTATGCAACCCATTATTCCCATTAATGGGACTCTCAAGTTGCTCAGTGTGGCAGCGCCCAAATTTCTGAGGCCAAATTGCTCCTACAGCAAGGCTCTTGGCTGGATTTTTCCTGTTTTCCAAGCTTAGAATTCATTGCCAGTGTAGCCTCCTTAAGCCATCCTACCCCAATTATACCTCAATTTCCCCTTTTGTATATTGTTTTATTTTGACCGAGCTCTGGGAGGCAGTGGAAGACAGGCGGGCCTGGCGTACTCTGGTCCCTGGGGTCACGAAAAGTCGGACAAGACTGAATGACTAAACAACAATATTGGTGGTTGTGGGTTTTTCGGGCTCTTTGGCCGTGTTCTGAAGGTAGTTCTTCCTAACATTTCTCCAGTCTCTGTGGCCGGCATCTTCAGAGGAGATACCAGCCACAGAGACTGACCAAACGTTAGGAAGAACCACCTTCAGAACATGGCCAAAGAGCCCAAAAAACCCACAACCACCATTAGATCCCGGCCGTGAAAGCTTTCGCGAATACAGCAACAATATTGTTTTATATTTATTCTTCCTTTCTTTGGGTGCCTACACACGATTTTCCTCCTGGAAATTTTTCCTTCTGGAAAATTGTAGGTATAATTGGGGTAGGATGGCTTAGGGATGCTACACCAAGAGGGAGCAGAAGAACTCCTGTCAGAAAGAAGGAGCCCGCGGGCTGGCAGAGAGCGTGGCTCCTTGTTGCCCCCC